GCAGACGATTGTTTCCGGACATGTTCAAACCTTGCCGCTGCAACCTACTCGAGTCTAAAAAGAGCCCAAGTTTCTTTTGATGTCAAATACTAACTGAAGTTATTAACCGTGCTCAGCACGTCAAAATGATCCGAAAATTGTGAAAAAACCCGTCAACAATCTCTTGGACACAACCTTTGAGATGTTTATCAACTACCTTTTCCCAGTCAGCTTTCTGAGGATCATCCACAGTTGTCTTCACTAGATGAGCATGATCATTTATCGCATTGATAGTCATCACTTTAGCATCCGTAGCGGCTCGAACTTTCGCCTCCGCCGATTGAATGGCCGACATCAAGGACTTCTCAAGCTCTATAAAGCTCTAATCAATAACACCATGATTTAACGAAAGAAAATTGGGATTATATAATAAGAGAAAGAAGCAATTTAGGCATACGTTTACTCCTTGCTGCTGCCATCTCTGGCGTTGGCCTTCCCGAAGGTAGTTCTTGAGGTGGATTCAAATCAACAGGATCCACGTGAACTGGTGGTTTCTTCTTGAGTTCAGGTAGGGGAAGTTTTGCAAGAGGTGGAAGAACCTATGTAACAAACTTGAAATATTATAGCGATGAGAGTATGATTGTTTAATACTTACTTCGTCACCAGATTTCTTCTTAGGAATCACACTAACTACTTGTTCCTTTAAATCAACCAGATGCTGCTTGGCTTTCCTGTACGTTAAAAACAATTGTGGGAAAATAGTTTGTAAAAAAAAGAGGACAAACTGACGATATTGTTGTCGATCCCAAAATAGAATCAAGAGCAGGCTTTATTGGCGGCACCGTGTCTTCCACCTGATAAAAAAAAGTATGTTGCAGGTGGGTAGTCCATCATATGAAGCACGTGATTATAAATATCTTAAATATGGCATGCTTATGTAAAGTTATGCACTAAGTCTATAGCTGAATAATAAAAAAACCATTTATGAACAAAAATTCAGGGATCTGAAGATTTACCTCTGAATAAAACTCTATTCAAATACAAAGTTTCTGGCTTATCTCTAAAACAAAGAAAAATTACTGTGTGGATGTGAAGTCAAGAAAAAAGTGAAGGTAAAACGATACTATTTTATAATCTTCAGTAGAGTACTGAAGCACGCTAGCAAAAGCCAACCTTATGTCTGAATTCTGGATCCACATAAGCATAGCCAACAATACTACCAGCGCCAACAGCCAATGCACTAACAGCAAGAGCTAGTCTGCGGGTACCAGATTTCCTGAAGATTTAGATGATTTGAGCACAGAATAAAACTGAATGCAATACTACATCAAAAAACGGGTTACGAATTGTTTCCAAAAAAAAGGAACATGGAAATAAAGACCTACCTTGTAGCAGGTTTGGGCACATGAGGAGGTGGGGTTGGTGCAGAATGTGTTGCCTGCGTACGGATACCCTTCAGACCCTGCTCTAAGGACTTCTTCTGGAATTGGCAAAGTAAAAATCAGATATTCACGAACTGCTAAGAAGATTAGCAGACTCACGGTGGCGGCACGAAGCATCTTCTAACAAAACCCGCTCCAAAAGAGCAGGGAGCACCGCAGTAATCGAAGATACCTGACGAAAATTTTCGTTAGTGTAGTGCACAAGAACTTGCCAGTAAGCTGTTATATATTGTGAGAAACACAGAAGGAGATAATTAATGAGCGCAAGATACAACATCCCTACAAAATAACCAACAACCATTGAAAAAAGGAGTCACT